CTCTCTCTCTCTCTCTATCTCTCTCCTCTATCTCTCTCTCTCTCTCTCTCTCTCTCTCTCTCTCTCTCTCTCTCTCTCTCTCTCTCTCTCTCTCTCTCTCTCTCTCTCTCTCTCTCTCTCTCTCTCTCTCTCTCTCTCTCTCTCTCTCTCTCTCTCTCTCTCTCTCTCTCTCTCTCTCTCTCTCTCTCTCTCTCTCTCTCTCTCTCTCTCTCTCTCTCTCTCTCTCTCTCTCTCTCTCTCTCTCTCTCTCTCTCTCTCTCTCTCTCTCTCTCTCTGTGTTGGGTTGATTGTTTGTCTGCCTGTCTGTTTGCCCTTGTGTGTCATTCTGACCAGTTCTGTTTTCGATTTGACTTTCACCTGCAGAGCTTGCTCAGATTGCAATGGTGATTGATCTGCAAACCCAACTGATTCAAGACAAGGAAAGGATGATCCAAGACAAGAACAAGATGATCGAAGACATGGAAAAGACGATCCAAGGCAAGAACAAGATGATCGAAGGCAGGGACTAGACGATCCAAGACAAGAACAAGACGATCCAAGCCAAGGACCGGGAAGTTGAAGCTGCACGAGTGGTTGGAATTCACAACACAGTGCGAATTTGTAAGCCACCCTGCCATTCTGATTGTCGAAATGTGCAACTTTGAGGCGAAATTACGGCTGAAACTCAGTGTGAATGCAATTTCTTGGGAAGTGTCCTGCATCGGATCACAATCAAATGCAAGGCTCGCCAACCTATTCGTCAAATCCGATACCTCCTGGAAAATGAAGATTCCAGGGTACAAGCTGAAGGCGGCGTTGCCGTCGCCTCCCAGGTCGTTCCTGGAAGGGCAAGAACTTTCGACGTATTCCGCGCTTGCAAATTTTTGCCAGCAAGTCTGTTCCCTGGTTGAGTCAACGGTCAAATTTCACGTCATCGCTCAGGGGTCGTTCGGACCTGATCTCGTTGCGATATCCACAAGGACGGCGAACGGCATTCCGTCTAACAGTCTGCAAAACCAAGGGGCTTTGGCTGCGGCTAGCGGGTGGTTCACAGGGCGCGGCCGCAGCCGGTGATTCACAGGGCCAGGCCTCCACATCCACGAGTTCGAGCACTGCTGCAAGGTCATCCGCAAACAACTTGTTCGCTCGTCTACAATCTGAAATCCTGTTCATGATCGAAGTCCAAACACATGCTTCGCCACTCAACGAAGCATGTCTGCAACTCGCAAGCTACATGGTTAGCCGTCTGCGATTCGACGACCTCAAGGTCATGGAGTGTGTCGATTCTTGGCCAGACTTTGTTGAAGGAATACTCTGGCGCGGTCCCAGCGTCTATGTTGTTCGAGTGTTGCTGAAGAAGCATGGCAAGCTCATTGCACCTGAAATTTCCAGTTTGGCGGCGGACCCAGCCAGGGCGGTTCTGTTTCTTGTGTCGAGAGCCATCAAAAACGCTGTTGTCCAGCAACACTGCATGTAAACACTATTGCGGGTACTCGTTGATGATGATGCTCAACATATGGTTTCAAAATATTATTAAACTACAAATGAAACACGAAATCACACCGCCCTCGAACTGCGACGCTCGGTTTGAAGAGGCGCAATTGCGTACATCGTCCCACACAGTGTGAAATTATTCCACTTCCTCACAGGAAGATTTACTCACGACGCGAATGCCCGGAAGAATGAGTGCTGTCGTCGCGAACGATCGCGGAAGACCGACTCTCACTGCGCGCAAGGGTTTCGTCCGCCTCGCTGCGGCTTTCCACAAGCCTATCCATCGATGGGATGTGATGCGGCGGAGGGGGTAGCTGGAACATTTTCATGACCGGCTTTGGCGCCGCGAGAGAACTGGGCGTACTTTGCGAGAGCGAGAGCTGTACATGGTGTGCAGGCTCGTCTTCCTCGAAGGAATCCTTTTCGTCCGCTCGTTCAGCACTGGCGATCGCGGCCGGCTGCGAGCCGCAAGGTTGCTTCTTGCGGCTGTTCTGGAGCAAGCGGGTAAACTGCGAAAAGTGACTCAGAGAAAGTGCGGCGCCAGGCACCGGTGACGAGGTGGCCGACGTTGCCATCTGACCAGCAACACCCGGGTGGATGGCAACCTTGGGCGACACGGGCGGCGAGATGGATGAACGGTCGCGGCCGCTGCCACCGGATCGGCCCGGTTCGGTTGGCAGAGTGTTGGAAGGGTTGGACGTGCTTCCGCGATGGCTCCCCAGATTGTAAACCAAAAAGCTCGAGTGACTGCCCGAACCCTTGAGCTTGGATCGCTGCGCGTTGGCTGCTTCGACGCTTTGGAAGTTGAAGCCGCCGTCCGAGTGGGTGCGATTCCAAGGGCGGACATCCACGACGCCGACTTCTGGGACGCTTGCGCGCGTGCGTCGCTCGGGCGACACCATCGAGGGAATGTCGTCAAAAGCATGGGCAAGGTGGCTCGTGTGCGAGGTATACGAGGAGGAGCTGGCACTGGAAGGAAGCAAGCTCGAGGTGCTGTGACGTGGTGCCGCCGAGTAGCTGCTACCGCTGCTCGAGCTGGTCGTGGGCACAAGACTGTTGGTGCTCGTCTCGAGCAAGTCTCCGCCCGACGCTGTCCGCGAACGCCCACTTTCGGAAGTGTTATGCGACGACTGGCGCGACATGTGTCGCACCGAGTGGCGGCGCTCGTAGTGGAGAGGTCTGTCTGAACCACAGGGAGCGCTGTCTGTCTCCGAGTGCACGCTCGCCGCGAGCTTTTGCAAGTTTTCCAGGCTAAACCCAGCAATGCACTCGAGTCGGAAACTGGGGCGCTTGCAGGCAATCCCCAGCGCTTTGCTCAGCAACTCCAAGCTGGGGTCGGTCGAGTTGAGGGCTGCCCGCGCCTCGACGTAGCGAGCGAGAGACTTTTTGCTGACCGCGTCTCGCAGCTCGCCGCCGTGCAAATGGGTGATGAGGTTGTGTTCCAAGGCAATGACAACGCAAAGCAAGCCAACAGTGCTGCCAAACTGGGCGCACTTGTTGGTCAAGCGCACAAAGAGCGAATACAGGTCCATGCGCAGCTGGAGCTCGTTGGCTGTCAGAATCTCGACGAGGACCCACTGGATGACGGCGTTGCAGGCCGCGACAATTCCGGGGACCTTGGCAGTGTGCTCGTCCTCGAGCATGTGGACGCGTGCTTGTCGCGCAAGCAGAGTCTCCATGCGCACGTCTCGGTTGAGGGAAGCTCTTCGTTGCAACGGTGACTCTCCGCCAGCAGAGGATGATGCTGCGGTGGTGCCCTCACCAGAGTCCCTCGATTTTTGTCGCGGGGAGGCTGGGCTGGACGTCGTTGCGGGCGCAACCGTCTGCAACTCGTCCAAGGATGTCATGGATCCTGCCGGTGTGGCAAGAGGCGTGCTGACACACGAAGGGGTCGATTGAACCCAGGCAGCAAGCTCACCCGATTGGATGGCTGCCTTCAGGCCGTCGTTGAGCTGTCCGAGCTGGCGGGCGGTTGTCGACGATGCCAATCGCACCGAGACGCTGAGCTGGTTGCAGAGTAGCTGGCGGTAGTTGTCTCGAAGTCGGCTCTCGGCAGCCGCGCTGAGGTGAGCAGGGTCGCGCCCGAGGCTGGCGGCGGAGGGAACTCTGAGCAGCTGATCGCCGGCAGTGCGCTGAGCGTGCAGTGCGCTTGTCGTCAATGGAGGCGACTCTGGTGATCGTGGTACGGTCGATGCATGCTGGATGACAAGGGCTGGCGTCGTTTGAGGCAACGAGTTGGTGGAGCTGCCCGTCGTGTGGTCGCTGCCGCTGCTGGTGATGGAGCCGCGCCGGGAGGTACGGCCGCGCACGGACGTCTCTGTCGAATGCACTGTCGATGTCGACGATACGCTCGATGATGGTAGTGAGGGTGTGGAGGTCGAGAGCGATGACGGTGTCGAATATGGCGAAAGAACGCCAGCGCGGTAAATGGTGGTCGGTTCACGGCGCGGACTTGGGCTGCTGCACGCCAAGTCGCTGGCCTCCTCGCTCGCGGCATTCTGATGTGGGTGCTGTGCGCCTGATGCTGGTGGTTGTGTGGAGGAGACTTGGCCAATCGGCAGGTGCTCGGACGAGGAGCCGGGGGTCGGGATGGGCGCATTGTTGTGGTTGACGTGGCTGGCGTTCAAATTCAAAAGTTGGCTGCTTTGCAAGGCAGAATCTGTGTTTCTACGCCGTGCAATGCCGCCGTTACTAGAGCTACTGGGGTTGGCTTTGGCGAATGGAGTACTGTTCTTGGTTGTGGTGCTGGTGGTGGTGGTGGTGGTGGTGGGGGTGGCGGCAGTACTGTAGTTGGGCTGCTGTTGCTGTTGCTTGGTGTGGGAGGTGTAGCTGATCGTGGCCGCCGGATCTCGCCACAGCGCCGTCTCGCTATCCACTTGGTCGAGCAAACGCATGGATGAGCGAGAAGATGGCGTTGGCGGAAAGATGGTGGGTTGTATCGTTGTGCGCAAGGTTGGGCCGTTCGGATTGAGGAGTGAGCTGGCCGGGTCGATGGCGCGGTCGACCGCGGAGACATCCGACGTCACCGTCGCAGCGCGCTCAGCAGCAACGTGACCAAGGTGCGGAGGTGCGGGAATTGCAGGAATGACAGGAATTACAGGAATTACAGGAATTACCGGCACGGACACGGCGTGTTGGTGCGAGTGGTCGCCACTGGCACTGCTGCTACCGTTGCCATCCACGGCCAAGGTGCTGTTGCTGTTGCTGCTGTTGCTCTGGCTAACGCTGGAGCTGAGCCGCTGAGATGCGTCATTGTTGCCAGAATTCGCGTTGGGAGTCGAGCTTTGGCTGCCGTTGCTGTTGCTGCTGTTGCCGCTTGTTTTTGCATCGGGTGAGTCGGAGCGACTGCTGCCAGGTACAATTCGGCGAAGAAACGAGCGAAGCTTGTTCTTGCTCGACGCCGCATGCGGCACCAGCGGCGGAAACGAGACCATCAGCGCCGTCGCTGCCGCTGCCGCTGTTGCTGCTGATGCTGGGGCCGATGATGCTGGTGCGCCCGCGGATAGTTGCGTCGCTGCAGGTGGCTGTCGTTTCGCTGAAGTGGACGGCATTTTTTGGTTGCTGCGAATCTTGGTGGTTTTTTTTTTTTGCAATGCTGAGCAAGCAAGAGTGAAAAGGGTTCCAGGTGAGATTCAGTGGTCGGTTAGGAAGCGGAAAATTAGCGGAAAAATCTATCCCCAGCCGGAAGAACTCAGACAGAATGATGGACAAGTTCAACGATGTTTGCTGTCAACCCGCGCACAACGTCAGTGAGCCAGCTCACCCCCTCAAAGGTGTGTAATCCATCGTCGCAGCCATCGCCGAAAAGCACAAAAGTCGTGTGCAGTGCGCAAAAACCGCAGCAAAGTAGCGGAGGTTCTTTCAACACGCGAATTTTGAAATTGTTTTGGTTTCGGTTGAGGTTTTTTTTTTTCTGGGTTTTGTTTCTAAAACCAAGGCGATTACAGCATTTTTGTTCATTGGTTTGTGTTTACGTGTTGCAGTGTCGGCGATGGAGGTGAAACATGTCGGCCACACCTCGCGTTCTTCGGCGAAGAAAGGGTGGAACTGAAGAACTGGAAACAACCCCAAAGACAAAGTGACCAGAGTTTCAGACGACGAGTATGACTGTGTCATTGTTTGCAGTTTCATGATTGTGTCATTGTTTACAGCTTCCCTCTTTTTCTGGAACCAAAAAACGACATCCAAGCAGGTTGGTCAACGGCAAAAAAAAAAACAAAAAAAAAAAAAAAGAAAGCGACTTGAATTTTATCGCACTCATCTCAAACACATCGGTGCCCCTGCCAGCCGTGCAAAAACGACCTGTGCTGATGACCCTGACAACAACCATCGCATCCACAGCCACTGCCCAAGTCCCTGAAGGAGTGCGAGATGGCAAACCGCTTCAACGCACTCGAATTCAATGCTGCCGGAGCGCTCAGTTGGGTTTTTTCTTCGTCCTCCTTCTCCAACATCGTCACCACCGCGACAGCCGAAGCGTAGACTCTGCCTTTGACATTTGTGAATGCGACAGACAGAATTTTTAACGACCGCGCCACCAAAGCGGCGGCGAACTGCAGCCGCCATGACCAGAGCAAGCGCTGCGCTGCGACGAACAGCAAGAAATGAACGCTGGGCTGGTTCTTCCAATCCCACTCCATTGAAAACAACAACAAATGAAAAACAAATCAAGGTGTTGGTTCAAGCCACAAAAGAACAAGTAAAGTATTATTGCTCCGACGCTATCGATCGGATGGAAGGGCGAGAGCTGGTGCTGTTGCATGTTGTGGGCGGGATGGATGGATGGAGGTTGTCGGAGCGCCTCTTCGACGTCTCAGACGGCTCACCTGTGTAGGAGTCGTCTGCAAATAAAAAAAAGCGAAATTGGTATCGAGGCGATAAAAATTACAAAAAATTTAAAACTAGACACCAAATTACAAAAAGATCAAAGAATGAAAACAAAAAGGAAGACTGTTGTTCATCTCGCGACATTCATTTCGTGCAAGGAGGCGAAAAAAAAACCGATGCTGCAAAATGTCCGAGTGCGCGCACATAGCCATGGTGTGAACAAAATAGCATGGACGAAGAGCAGAGAGAGAAGTGGTCGACGTGTGGAACTACAGGACTGTAGGGGACGTTGTAGCGTCGCGGCTCAGAGCATGTGTCGCAATCCCTTATCGTAGCGACATGCGCTTTCGGGGGACGAATTTTTATTTGTGGGCGGCCGCGTGTCAATCGGCGAAGCAGCGAGCGTTTTGCTGAAAAAGGAAGATCAACGCCGATGCGCCAAACCCTCAAAATACGTTCTCTTGCGCATCGGCTGACATGAAGTAATATCCTTGGTGCATCTGCCGACATGCAGATCCGGCGGGCGATGTGTATCATCACGTTTTCAGCCGGCAAGTCGGGCGACGTGCGGCGAAAACCAACCAAAGTGTCGGGACCCAGAGTCGAACCTGGCTGTTAATTAGTAGTTGTGTATTTTTAATGCACTTTACTCTACTTTAGTGGTATTGGGATGCTTATTTCGAGGGGGCCACTAAGTGTTTGGAACAATCCCGTTTAGTCATCGGGTGACAAATTTCGGCCTCTTGATTGCTCACCCGATTTCCTTGGCTTCGCTGTTCCCCCTACCGATAAACCCATCACAAGTTGATTCAAAATATAGTTATGAATCTGTTATATAGTGAGAGCGAGTCCTCGCATGCGTTGGGGCCGACGCCAAACAGCGGAAAATTGGAGGAAAATTGTCTACATCGACGAAGCGTCAATCGCCTGTCAAGACATGGCACTTTTGTGTACATGTGACTCTCGGGGTGGCTTTGTATACTTCTATGTTGAATTTCAGTGTTTTGCGTAAATTGCATACATTCTTGGATTGCTCAGCATGCTAACGACAATGTGTAGAACTTTGCACAAGTGTTGGCGTACTGACGGTCGATGGTCCTCCAATTCCCTTCATCTTTCTCTCAAAAATACACGCATTGTCCACAAGTAAATTGCAAGTGAAGCGGAGGTCGAGGATGACAACCGCACGGTGCTACGAGAGTGCAAGTGGCGAATGCCGCCCAAAAAGCTCGTGCTCGCTTGACCTCTGACTTTCAAGCCCTAATTTTGTCATAGATTATCGACATTTATGGTATACTACCATTGCTACTGTCGTAGTAGGGGACGTGGAGCCCCAAGGGATTGAAGTGGTTCCAAAAACGTACCAAAAAAATCCAACCAGTCTTTTGTAGGTATGATTATTGGGATTTCTTTATTACTTTTTTTTATCATGCTTTCTGATCGACGTTGCTTGTCCTTCTTCCTTCTCCTTCTTCCGTCTCCTTCCTTCCTCCCCCGCCTCCCCCACCTTCCACAATCACATTCCGCTTCTTGCACCAACTCTGCCTCCCACTCGCCTCGACGCTGATCTGCACTGCTGCAGTGATGGCCGTCTCCTGTTCGCGCTCGTCTTTTTTTTTTTTTCTTTTTTTCTTAATGTTTGCTCTTGTTTGGTCTCTCTGCAATCCGCTTCCACCCACCCATTCCTCCGCCTGTTGGGGATGGAGAGCATCGTTTTGCTCGTGTTCTCGCTGCCACGGTCGCTGAAGCGCTGGCACTTTGTCAACGTCAGTTCTGCGTCTTTGCAGGCAAGATGGAAAGTTTTTCTAATGCTTGTTTTTTTGCTGTGCCTTCCTTCTCGTTGTTCCTGGGTGCCCTGCGCGCCTCGCGGTGCCTTCCACGGTTGCGCTGTGCCATGGCATGCGAGTACCACGGTCGCACTTGCTTGCTTCGATGCCACTCAGTCAAACCAAAACCAAAACCAAGAAACGAAAAGAAAAAAAAAGAAAGCAAAAAAAAAGAAAAAAAAAAAAAGAGCTGGAACGCGCGCAAAAGCTGAGACCAAGAAAAAACAATCAAAACAAAATCAAACCAAACAAGTCTTTGCTCACTTTTTGTCCCTTTCATTCCTCTTTTGCGACAGAGAGATACACAACATCAACAACCAAGAAAAAAAAATGTCCCAAATCAAGCTCCAAAGTTCCGACGGTCGCGAGTTCACTGTCGACGCCAAGGCTGCCAAGATGTCCGAGACCATCAAGAACATGCTCGAGGGTCAGTAGGACCATTGAGCTTTGTGTTTTTCGTCTTTGCTTTTGTCCAAGATACACTCGTTTTTGCTTTTTTTCTGACCAAACCAAAAACAACCTTCGCAAACAGATCTCGGCGGCGACGGCGAAAACGCCATCCCTGTGCCCAACGTGACTGGCGCCATCCTCGAGAAGGTCATCAGCTACTGCCTGCACCACAAGGACGATGTTCCCAAGGTCGTCGAGGAGGACCCGTCCAAGCCCAAGAAGGAGGAGATTGATGCTTGGGACGCCGAGTTCTGCAAGGTCGACTATGTCACTTTGTTCAACATCATTCTTGCTGCCAACTACCTTGACATCAAGCCCCTGCTCGACGTGACCTGCAAGACTGTTGCCAACGTTATCCGAGGTATGTTGTGGCTTGTTTTTTTTTTTTTTTTTCTTACTTCTCCTTTTTTTTTTGTCGTTTTTGTTTGATTCCAATTATCTCACGTCCACTCAACGACCATGACCGACAACAAATTGTAGGCAAGACTCCTGACGAAATCCGCAAAACCCTCGGCGTCAAGAGCGAGGCCCCCGCGTCCGCCGCCTCTTCCTCCTCCTCCTCTGCCGCCGAGCCCGCGACTGCCTAAACGATGAGTGCGACGAAAAGTCACAACAACAAAGACCACGTTCGCCCCCCGCGTTGCGAGTTGACACATTTTTTCATAGCTCTGCGTTTGTTGCTTGTCGGTGTTTTTGCCCTTCGATTTGATAACCGTACCACATTTGAGTAAACAACTGCGTTAATTTTTTTCAATCCGTTTTTTTGATGTGGTTTGTTGATGCAAACCAACACGCTTCATCCCAATCCAATTTCAAAAGCGAGACCACGGATTGGATTGAGCAAGAATCCAGCCCTCAGTCATTTGTAAGGTACTTTTATTTCGTTTTACCATAGGTTTTCTATTACTCTCCCAACTGACCATACACATCTTTCCTCTTTTCCTCCTTCCCGCTTCCATCCCCATCTCCCCATCTCGCCATCTCCCACTCGCCGCTGTCAATCACATCTCGCTCTCTCACATCTCGCGTTCTCGCACGCCTGCCTCCGCTCATCCTCACTTCGCTTGGCCGCCAGTGCTGAAACACCTTTCGAACCGTTTTGGCCCGTTTGTCATTGTCATGCATTCCCCCGCTCTTCTCGGTCTTGCTTCCACCAACCCCCACCCCCATCGTTGCCTGTTGGGGGTTTACGCTGACATTCTCACTGCCCTGATCGCTGAGGCGTTGGCGCTTTGCCGACGTCAGTTCGAACTTGCTGATGTTTCATTGCAATGGTTTTACGGTGCTCTTCCGCCTGTGGGCGATATTTTCGTGTATGGTTGCAAGTGTCAAAAGCACATCTGCAACTGCTTGCTTTTCGATGCAACAACAATCAAACGGAAAGATGGAGCGAGCGGAAAATTCTGAGACAAAGTGCTATTTTTGGAACTATTTTCTCACTCTCTTTGATATTGTGCACTTTCGTTCATCTTTTGCTCCAAACAGAAAGGCAAACACTCTCGAAAGTCCAAAATCCAACAACATCCAACTGCACTTCAACATTAATCATGTCCGAAATCAAGCTCCAAAGTTCCGACGGCCGCGACTTTAGCGTCGACGCCAAGGCTGCCAAGATGTCTGAGACCATCAAGAACATGCTCGAGGGTAAAGCCATCCTTGTTGATTGTTCCTTGTTTTTTTTTTTTTTTCTTGTTGCGCCTAGATTCTGACGAAAACTTCACTCGCAACAGACCTTGGCGGCGACGATGACATGGCCATCCCCCTGCCCAACGTGACCGGCGCCATCCTCGAGAAGGTCATCCAATACTGCCTGCACCACAAGGACGATGTTGCCAAGCCCGAGGAGGACGAGACCAAGGCCAAGAAGCAAGAGGACATTGACTCGTGGGATGCCGATTTCTGCCGTGTCGACCAGGGCACCTTGTTCGAGATGATTCTTGCTGCCAACTACCTTGACATCAAGCCTATGCTTGATCTGACCTGCAAGACTGTTGCCAACATGATCCGAGGTGCGGCACAGCCGTTTGAGTTTTTTTTGTTGTCTCTGATTTCTCTAACGCCTGACTGAAATCTTTGTAGGCAAGACCCCCGACGAAATCCGCAAGCTCTTCAACATCAAGAGCGACTTCTCCCCCGAAGAGGAAGAGCAGGTCAAGAAGGAGAACGACTGGTGCGAGGAAAAGTAGAAAGAGCCGCCACTTTTCTCGAGTTGACTTTTTTCTTTTTCTTAGCTGTTGCGTTTGTTGCTTGTCGGTCGTTGCCCTTTGTTTGATAGCCGTACCACATTTAAGTACACTGCGTTAATTTTCGTAATTTTCGTCGTCGTTGTCGGCTTTCAGTCCAGCTTTTTTGCTTTTTTTGGTTCCGTTCGAGTCTGCAAAAAGTCACTTCACTTTAAATCGACAAAAATGGCTGACATGGAGTTGACGTCACTAACTCAGTTTGCCAACGATCCGTGGAACCTCACTGGCGAGCGAGCTCAGGCTGCTCTGGGCAAGTACAACCTGTCGCCGTTCCCCATCCTGCTGGCCTGCAAGGTGCAAGCTCTGGGCGCGTACTCCAAGGCCAACGACGAGTGCATCTGCTGCATGTTCGCCAACCCGCTTCTGTGGTTAACCATCCCATGCTGCCTCGCGCAGGCGATGTACTACACTGAGGTTCAACAAGGTGAGGTCGGGTGCCTCGCTGCTCCCCTTTTTTGCTTCCCTCCCCACGACTCTCCCCTCCCGCTGCCCTAGATCGCTTGATCTGTTGCGCCGAGTCTTGTTGCTTCCGCTCGATGAAGCGTGCAGTGCAATCGGGCGAGCAGCATGTGCGCGGTTGGTTTGTTGTTTGTTTTGTTTTTGTGCCGCTCCATCCAAACGTCACCGAGCGAGTCGAAGGTGGTCTCCCACGTCGCTTTGCTTCACCAAATACATGATGGGGCGTGCTTCTACACCAAGAGTTGCAGCGCTGAAGAGTCCCACCGAGACATTGGGGGAAGGAATCGTGACGTAGCAAACGGAAAACAATCAAAAAAGGAAACAAGACACGAGAACACAAAAAAAAATCAAAACAAGCAAAAACAAACACCTCAACAAACAATCAACAAAGACCGAGATCGGCAACGTCGATGACCGGCTTAGGGGGCGGTGCATGGACGTACAAGAGCGCTTTGGTGGTTGTAGAGTTGTTGAACTGAAGAGACTGGGTGGAAAAAAGGTCGATTTCCGACGTTGATTGTACATGTATTCGATATCCGGCCTAAGATGACAAGCAAGCTCAGATGACAAGCAAGCTCTGTTGTACTTGATGTCAACAACACTCACAAGCTGGATCAAAACTCCCCACACTCTTGCACAGGCGCGGCGAAACACCGATGGCTGGTCATCACGACGCAAGAAATCATCGTGTTCTCGGAGGCGTGGGAGGCGGTCGACCCACTGTCGAAGGAACGAACCATTGCAGTGACCACCACCGAAAACATGGTTCCATTGCGGAATGTGTCGGAGATCAGGATCACGAGCGTGCTGCTGAGCAAGAAATCGATCTGCCCGCAGGCCACCGACGTTCTCAACATTTTTTCTGCTTACTGCAGCGCCGTGACCTTTCCTGGCCCGAACAACCCGGTAACAACAGCCATACTAAATACCCTGCGCTCGAGCCAACAACCCTGGTCTGAAACTCACACGTCTGTTTGTTTGCTCGGCTTTGTTTTTGTGTGACTGGTCTGTTGTGTGATGACTGGCTTCGGCAGGAGGGCGTTCGTGACTTTATCATGGAGGCACGCCGAAAGGCCATCATGGAGGGCGACAAGCTGCCGCACCTACCACAAATGATGCCTTCATTGATGAGTGGTCTCAACAGGACGGCAGTTGCGGACTGCGAGCCGTACACCGAAAGGCCCGTGTCGTCAGAGTATGCCGGCAAGTACTTGGCGATCAGCGCCAAGTCGTTGGCAGGCGGGGTTGCTGGGGTGGGCCTATCCTATCAGACAACTGCAGCGATGGAGAAATCCTTCAACGCAGCAGCCATGCAGTCGGCAGGCGCAGGTGTTGGTGTCATGAACACACAACCAGCGCGACTTCAACCATTTGCCGAGTTGATGGCAATGCCTGCGGGTGCAATGTCGCAGCCGACGTTTGGACTGCCTGGTGCGTTGAACGCGCAGGCCGCGAGCGCGCCCACGATTCGCGTGGTGGTTGCAGTGAGCAACTCGAGTGAGCTTCGGCTCGCTACCGTGTCGAAAACATTGTCTGCAGATGCGTTCATCGCGGTTCTTGCTGCCCCGCATGGCCTTGCACCCGGCAGCGTCTCTGGCGTGGTTCTCACTGATCTGAATGTTCCTGTTACGTCGGCTGTCGATTTGCAAAACAATGACAAGCTGACCCTTGTTGTTTGAAACGAGCTTCTTGGTTGTTGTGCCAGCTAGCTGGTTGATGATGCAAGTGCGTTTGTTTTGCATGCTGTTCAGTTGTTTGTGAGTTTGTGTTGTTGTGCCCGGGTAACTTGAACAAAATTGTTCATGACGGTGACAAGAGTTGCCAATTGAAACTTGCACAATGAACTTCAAGGCGAACACAACGGCCTGTTTTGCGCTCAAATATCGGTCAATCCGCTCAAAATTAGATCGAATGCTTGCACGGTAAAATCAGCACGCTTCAAAATTATAAATTTGCTCCCAAAACACAATTGACATAACAAAAACAACAATGAAGCTCACAGGACCAATTCCTGGTGCATTGGAGTTTTGGGTGAAAAGCAAGAGCGCTGTGAAAGGAACAAGTCATAAAGCAACAGTTACAACATGCAGGAGGAGCATGCCACAAGAGGGCGAACGGGAAACACGGACACAGAGAGAGTAGTGAAGAACGAGGGAGTAGCTCGTTCATCACTTGATAAAGCACTGAGGCATCAGCACAGCATCTTTCGCTTGGTATCAAGGATCCAATTGAACAATGAGTTGCCCAAAGGAGGGGCGATCGGCAGCTTCGTCGTCAAGACACTCGAGCGCGAGGGTGACAATCTCGCTGATGCTCTGCTGCTCTGCCTCGGTTGGGTTGAGCGCCGAGTCCAGCATGCCAACGATGGTTTGATTTTTCACAGCCCTTCGTGCATCTAATTTCAGGCGGTTGCCAGGCTTGGCGGCGGTCACAAGCTCGATCAAAATCATGCCAAATGCATAAACGTCCGTCTTGACGGTCATTCTGCCATCAACGAGGAACTCGGGACACATGTAAGCAGCGGTGCCTTGAGGAACCTTTGTGCGAAGGGAACTTTTGTCATCAAGATGCTCGGCAGCACGGACGAGACCAAAGTCCGAAACTTTTGCATTGAAATGCGCATCCAGAAGAACATTGTCCGTCTTGAGGTCGAGGTGGAACAGAACATGGTCAGAAAAGGCTGTCTGGACGTAGTGCATGCCACGAGAGACATCGGCAGCAATGTGGTGGCGCTGAGACCAGGTCAGCGGAAGCGTGTCGTTCTTGCGATTCAAGCGATCTCGAACAGAACCATTCGGCATGAACTCGTACACCAAGCAATATTCACCCTGAGCTTCGGCATACGACAGCATGGCAATGATGTTTGTGTGGCGGAATTTAGATAGAGATTTCAACTCTGACTGAAACGCTGCATAGTGCTGGATCGATACGGCGGACAGCTTCTTGATGGCAACAGCAACAGGAGGCCCAGGCAACCTGGCACTGTACACGCGACCAAACGCTCCTTCGCCAACCAGAGAATCGGCAGCAAAGCTGTTCGTAGCGGAGATGAGAGTGGCGAGAGGCACTTGTGCAATGGGTCCGTCAAAGTTCGACAAAGGTCCATCGCGCTTGATCCGATCAAGAGCTGACTTCAGTTCACGATCCTTGGTTGCAAGCTCCTGATCCTTGGCAACGAGATTTGAGCGAAGTTGTTGCAGGTCCTGCACTTTGGCAGCGAGCTCCTGGTCTGTTGTTGCGAGCTTCTGATCCTTGGCAGCGAGATCAAAGCGAAGTTGTTGTAGTTCCTGATCTTTGGCAGCGAGCGCCTGATCTCGAGTAGCAAGCTCCTGGTCTTTGGCCGCGAGCGCTTGGTCTTTGGCAGCGAGCGCTTGATCTTTAGTAGCGAGCTCCTGCTCTCTTGTTGTGAGCTTCTGCTTGTTGGCAGCAATCTCCTGATCTTTGGCGGTGAGCTCCTGGTCTTTGATAGCAAGCTGTTGGTCTTTCGCAACGAGCTCCTGCTCTGTTGTTGCGAGCTTCTGGTCCTTGGCAGCGAGATCGAGGCGAAGTTGTTGTAGCTCCTGCTCTTTGGCAGCGAGCGCCTGATCTCGAGTAGCAAGCTCCTGGTCTTTGGCCGCGAGCGCTTGATCTTTAGTAGCGAGCTCCCGCTCTCTTGTTGTGAGCTTCTGCTTGTTGGTTGCGAGGGCCTGGTCTTTGGCAGTGAGCTCCTGGTCTTTGACAGCAAGCTGTTGGTCTTTCGCAACGAGCTCCTGCTCTGTTGTTGCGAACTTCTGGTCCTTGGCAGCGAGATCGAGGCGAAGTTGTTGTGGCTCCTGACCTTTGGCAGCGAGCGCCTGTCTAGTAGTAAGCTCCTGCTTGTTGGTTGCGAGCTCCTGGTCTTTGGTAACGAGCGCCTGATCCTTTGCCGCGAGGACGTGCTTTTGAGCTGCCAGTTTCAGTTTGGAGCGCAATTGCTGATTCTCAGTTGCAAGATTGACAGAAGGTTTAGGCTGAGTGTGTGCTGCTGCACGAGCTGCAATCTGAGCCCAGTTGGCATGCGGCGAAAAACGCTGCTGGTCAAGACTACCATAAATAGGACTACAGTTTCACCCAGCAGGCAGGTGAGTGGCTTGTTGCTCATGCTGTAATCCAACAAACAAGCAGTCTTACTCCAAGTTACAAGTGGTACTGCCCGTTTGCCTGAGTGCATTGATTCCGGGGTTGGTTAGGAAGTTCTGGGACAAACTGTTATTGTCAATTACATCCTCAAATTGGAGCATGAGTTTACCGGCTGTCAGAGCATCTTGTAGCGATCAATATTTACCATAGCGTTGTCAGGGTCTTGTTCACTTTGAGTGCTTCAGCAATCGCGTGCGCTCCAACATCGCCAATCTGATTGGTGTGCAGACTGTCCATCCCCTCCATCGGTGAGCACTCTTCTGGATCGCCCACTCCCATGCATCCGTCAAAGTGAGATGCCTTACTCGAGCCCAGTCACAGTTGTGTTCACTTTGAGTGCCTCAGCAATCGCTTGTGCTCCAGCATCGCCAATCCGATTCTCATTCAGACTGTCCATGCCCTCCATCAGTGAGTACTCTTCTGAGTCGCCCACTCACATGCACCAGCAAGAATGAGATGCCTTACTAGAGCTTGGTCAGCGTCGTGTTCGCTTTGAGTGCTTCAGCAATCGCTTGCGCTCCACCTTCGCCAAGCTGATTATGGTTCAGACTGTCCATCCCCTCCATCAGTGAGCACTCTTCTTAATCACCCACTCTCATGCACCAGCAATGGTGAGATGACTTACTTGAGCATGTCAAGCGTCGTGTTCTCTTTGAGTGCCTCAGCAACCGCTTGCGCTCCAACTTCGCCAATCTCATTCGCACACACACTGTTTATCCCCTCCATCAGTGAGCACTCTTCTGAATCACCCACCCACATGCACCAACAAGAGTGAGATGCCTTACGAGAGCGTAGTCAGCGTCGTGTTCACTTTGAGTGCCTCAGCAATCGCCTGCGCTCCAACATCACCAATCTGATTCTTGGTCAGACTGCCCATCCCCTCCATCGGTGAGCACTCTGAATCGCCCACTCTCACGCATCAGTCAAAGGAAGATGCCTTACTAGAGGTGAGTCAGCTTCGTGTTCACTTCGAGTGCCTCAGCAATCGCCTGCGCTCCAACATCGCCAATCTGATTCTTGTTCAGACTGTCCATCCCCTCCATCGGTCAGCACTCTTCTGAATCATCCACTCTCATGCATCATTCAAAATGAGATGACTCACTAGACCGTAGTCAGCGTCGTGTTCACTTCGAGTGCTTCTGCAATCGCCTTCGCTTCTTCATCGCCAAGCCTCTTGTCATTCAGACTGTTCCCCTCCATCCTCGTCAGCACACACACTCGCGCTGCCAACAACTGTGTTTCAAATCAACTCAATCTTTTCTCTTACTTGAGCTCTACACTCGCATTCTTGACTCTGTCATACAACTGACGCTGTTTCTGATTCATATTCTGAATTGGGAGCATATTGGACGATCTGTGCACAGCTAAACAAACAAGAAGACTGTCAACCTAAATTAAAAGCGATTCACTGCTTTGACTTTGCAGATTTTTGCAGAGCATTTTCGTGTTTCATCGTCAAAGTGAAGGGATGAAGTGACCATGCAATTGGATGGATTCTGAGAATCGAATAAAAGCAGCCAAAACGCAACTTTCGCCTTTCCGTTCACTCACGATAGTACTGTATCATCTTCCAACGCTGTACGGATTAAACCAATACAGCTCTCCACTCACGATGCATGCATCCATGCTGGGTTCAGTGGTGAGCGAATCGAGAAGTCGTACATTCGTTCTTTCGAAGGAGTGCCAGTTCCCCCCCCCCCATCTCGTCTTGCGTGTTCGTATTATTACTCGCCGTATCTGCTACTTGGAGCACAATATCATCCATCTCAACTCCTACCAAATGTCTGAGTGAATCTGAACTCCAACTTGAGCTCATTTCTGATTTTTTTTCTATTGTGTTTTCTATCGTTTTCTTATTGTTTTTCCAATGTTTTCTCGCTTTTCGCTTCTCGTTCTCTGCGCGACTTTTGCGTGCGTCGCTGCTCTTCCCGACCAGGTACAAACACCGACCCTCTCCGTCCTCACTTTATCTCTCTTCCGTCCCTTCGCTCTCCTCTCTTGTCTCCTTCTTTTGCTTCACGACCGCGTCGCTTCAATGAAGGTTTGAACTGCGGTTTGTGTTTTGAACTTCTTTGTCTCTCCCTCTCTCTCTCTCTCCTTCTATCACACATCCATCATCATCTTCCCTTCCTTCTTCTTCTTCTTCTTCTTCTTCTTCTTCTTCTTCTTCTTCTTCTTCTTCTTCTTCTTCTTCTTCTTCTTCTTCTTCTTCTTCTTCTTCTTCTTCTTCTTCTTCTTCTTCTTCTTCTTCTTCTTCTTCTTCTTCTTCTTCTTCACCGCCGCCTCGCTGTTGCCTCGTCTCGCCTTCCCAAAAGCGCTTCCATTATGATTGCTTGGCTATAAATCGCAACAGACAGCTGTCCTCACTCACTCCCCAGTCCACTCCCGCTCACTCATTCACACTCACTCACACTCACTCACACTCACTTGCATTAACATCACTCACTGTCGGGCACCAGGTGCACATTGCCATCACCGGCAACCCCGGCGAGCGCGTCGTCTCGTGGGTGACTGCGTACACTGCCGACACGATCGTCCAGTACGGCTCGTCTGCCTCCGCGCTGACCCAGGAGGCCAAGGGCGACGAGACGACGTACAGAACGAGCACCACGCTGCTTGCACGCACGCTGCACCTCCACGACGTGCTGCTGTCGGGCCTCCAATTGAACTCGCGCTACTACTATCGTGTCGGCGATTCCGTTTCCGGTTGGTCGGAGGTCTTTTACTTTGACACCAAGATTGACGTCCCAAACACCCCCGTCGACATTATCATCTACGGCGACATGGGCGTCAGCAACTCAAACCAGACCCGCGACCTCCTCGTCGACGAAATCCAGGCCGGATTCTCCTCCCTCATCATCCACACCGGCGACTTTGCCTACAACATGCAGGACGCCGATGGTGTTGTCGGCGACACCTTCATGAACCTGATTCAGCCCATTGCTGCCCGCGTCCCCTACATGGTTTGCGTTGGGTAAAAAAAGGCTCAAGGCAGACGCGATTGTTTTCATTGTTTGACAACATTCTCACCCTCTGGTTTCGTTCTCTCTCCCCACTTTCGCCCCCCCCCCCTCCATCCACAGCAACCACGAGAACGACGGCCGAAACTTCTCCCAGTACCAGGCTCGCTTCAACGGCATCTCGCGCTACACTGCCACCACCAAGACCAACTTGTACTACTCGTTCAACGTCAACTATGTGCACTTTGTGGCCTTCTCCACCGAAATGTACTACAACACCAACCAGACCATCGCCGAGCAGTACGCCTGGCTCGAGGCTGACCTCGCCCAAGCCGTGGCCAACCGCGACAAGCAGCCCTGGATTGTCCTTTTCGGCCACCGCCCGATCTACTGCTCGAACGTGGACGACATGCCCGACTGCTCATCGGATGCCCGCACCCTGCGCGAAGGCCCGTACTCGATCGACAACCTCCTCGCCAAGTACAACGTCGATATCTTCTACAGCGCGCACGAGCACTCGTACGAGCTCACCTGGCCCGTCAGCAAGGGCCAGTGGCAAGAGTTCCCCAACCCCAACGTCTACGTCAACCCGATCTACACGGTGAACATTATCGCTGGCGCTGCTGGCTGCCCCGAGGACCTGTCCTACTTTGACTCGGTGTTCTACGGCCCGTGGTCCAACTACCGCTCGGCCTCGTACGGCTACGGCCATTTCATGGCCCACAACGCCACTCACCTGCACTGGACCCAGAACATTGCCGAGGGCGCCGAGGGCACCAACGATCTCTGGATTATCAAGGGCAACGCGACCGAAGTCGCCGAGCACGCCCACAACTTTGGCTTCCCCCCGTCCCCGGCTCCCGTCGACGAGTGCGACGAGTACTGCTTTGCCACCTGCTCCAGCGTCGCTCACCGCCAGGGCAAGTCCGTCGAGGAGACCCACACCTCCTGCGGCGCTTCGTGCAACTGCGACACCCGCGTCTCTGCTGGCAAGGGTCACGAGATTGGCAAGAAGGTTCGTGTCGAGCGTTCGCGCATTCTGCGTCATTAAGTCTGATGGCCAGTCAGTGACGCGGGCGGTTTGCCGTGTTTTGTGTTGCAGTTGGCTCAGTTGCCTTGTTTTTTATGGGAATCAACAAAAGGATCTCAAACAAATCGGCTTTTCAGGCTTTTGTTCCGTTCAATTCAATTCAATCTTCCACATGCATGCTATATTATAGGGGGCTGTTTTTTTAAAAAGGTAGAATGGCCATGTCTTTCACTCCTCTTGCATCACCTGGCTCTGTATGTGTTCGCCCCTGCCCTGCAACCCCCCGCCCGAGGGAGTAGACCATGTTTCTATGCCACTCGGTGTATCGGACGGCGCGCCCGGTCCCACTGGCAGCGGCAGGGCCGCGAGCAGTGGGTGACAATCAGCGCGGCGGCGTCACAGCAGGTCCCTGACAGCGGGCTACCGTTCCACATCGAACAATTCATCTGATCATGTATCATAGACAATGTCTGGCAGGGGTAGGAGGAGCTGGGGGATGGGGGAGCGCATGCGTGTCGACCTCCTTTGCTCTTCGCTTGGTAGACCATGCTCGCTCACTTTCGCTTCCTCTCTCGCGCGGACAGTTGATTTTACCTACCTGTGACGATGGCAGCTCGGCGCGTTGGCGGCGGGGACGATAGCGCTGCGGACAAGGCGTATGTGTCGATCGCACCCCCAGCCCCGCTCATCAACCCTGGTCCGCAGCCAGGCTATGTCTCTCTGCAGATCAACGTCGAGTTTCCTTCGTCGTTCAAGTATTCGCCAATGGCTAACGCTCTGTCCAGCCAAGAACTTGGCGCACATCGTGTCAAGCAGCGGCGACGTGCTGAAGCTCTTGAGACCGGGCGCAACATCCTGTCGACTGTCAAGAACACCGTCGTCAATCAATGGCCGAGCGATCAAACGCTTTGGAACGAGATCCTTTCGGAGACGAAGGTCACCGACGATAATGACATGACGAAACGCGCGGATGCATTGCTGACGGATCTTGGACTACGATGGCAGCGGGCAACCCGCCCTGCCGACCGTCGACGCATCCTCTCAACCATTGCACCATTCTTCCAGCTCAAGCAGCTTCAACCACACTTCCCCGGCCTCGAATATCGCGCACTGACGGCCGCTCGAAAGCACGGCAAACACAATGGTCCTGGCGTCCCGGCGGCGCACGTCGTGATTCCCAGGAACAGTCGGGCCAGCGCACATGATGAGCGAATCCTCGCGTTTGCCATGGCGACCGGTACAGCATCCCCGACCGCGTGCACTGTCGACGGTCAGCCAGTCATCTACCTCAACATGACTCTCAATCAGATCTACAAGCGCTTCCTTGCCAAGTACCCTGGCGAAGGTACCAAGCCGATTGTCTCCCGGAGCAAGTTCTATGACGTGCTGCAGTCATCGGGCGTAACGTTCGGCGAGCGTAAAGTCAAGACCGGCCTTTGCGCGACCTGCAACCGTGGCGTGACGATTTTTCGCGAAATCCTTCCGCTCCTCATTCACCAGGCGAGCTCGGCTGGCGCCATTTCCTTGGAAATGGACGAGCGCCTCTGTGCTTTTGCCACGCTCGCTGAGGGTCATGCAAGGACTATAGCGAGCTCTGCTGGGAAGATGGAGCATCACCCGCACCCGCTACATTGCGAGCTCTTCGCCTTCGGCCTCTGTCACGAGGAGCACAATTGTTTTGTCGACGGTCACAGCTCTTGCCCCGAGTGTGCCCCACTGCATGAGCTGATTCTACAGCTCAATGGCGCTCTCTCGGGCCCGAACGCTGACCTCCTCAAACTGGCCTGCAACGACCTCGTCCTTGTGAATGCCCACCATTGGCGCGCGGCCGCTGCCAAGGCCGATTTCAACGAGGCCCTCGAGAATCTTTCGGAAGGTCGCCTGATGATCGTGGTGGATTTCAAGGTCCGTTTTTTTGCGAGCGATGTTGACCATGATACCTCATTTGCACGTGACTCACCAACCGCGCTAAAGATAGATGAAGGTGCTCCAGAGTTCTGCTCGAGAAGTGCAAGTTGACTTCTTTGGCAAGCATGGCTTTCCGTATCATGGTGCTGTGCTCCTCTGGATGCATCAGGGGGTGCGGCACATGCATATGCTTGATCACTGGAGCGATGTTAATCGGCAGGATTGGGTGTTTGTCGGCCATGCGCTTGAGGCCATCGCTGGCTTCACTCGGTCAATGATTCAACACAAGAGGATGCCGCCGTAAGTGCTTATGTGAGGCAGGTGATGGACGAGTGTGTGTGCGGTGATTTACTTGTGTTTTTTTCCGAGCGAGCAGAATCACATCGGCCGCGCTTTACAGCGACAACGGCGCTTCGTATTCCAACAGCGCTTTGCCTGTGTGGATTCAGCGCCGCTTCAAGTTACTGTCCGGGTTTCCGATCACAGATATTCACCACTTTGAGCCCGGCGAGGGTACGTTCATGTGCAGGTGTTTATTGACTGCTTCTCCGCTCATTGATTCCATAGGCAAGTCCTACTGTGACACGCACTTTGCAGCAATCACGCACGCGCGCATGCACTGGATCCGTAACGGGAACGACCTCATGACCGGGCTGGATGTGGAACAAGGTTCGTGCATGACGCAATCTCAAATGTGTGCCTGCGTTTCTGACTCTCTTACGACTCAGCCGCACAGAGTGTGACCAATACAACTGTCATGGGCATCAACTTCTCGCCCTCAGTTCTCAAGCACTACGGCAACAAGTCACCCGTGTCGCCAATCCCCGGTCTCGATGCGGCGATGCACATTGTCATCACCGACGCTGGCCTTGAAGCATACCGCATTCGCGATTACCGCTTGCTTGCCACATGGAACGCAACCGATCATCCCGACCCGTTTCTTCCCACGTTCGGCGCAAGCGTGAGCCGGGCTGGCATCGTCCTTTGGAGCGCCGATTCTGAAACTCACGAAGCGCTTCGTGCCGACCGCGACGCTGCCCTGGTCGACCACTGCGACTTTCACTCGCCGCCGTCGTCGATAATCAGCCACGAACCGCATACACCACCACACAACAGTCAGCAACAGCCAACCGCCCCTGGATCGCCTACGTTGCTTCGGGCGTTCACGCAAGCTACACCGCTGCATCGGAACTGTGTTTGTCCATCAGCATGCGGCGCAAAGTTCAGCTCGCCTGACGACTTGAGAGCGCACACACGGATGGCACATCGCTCTGCGAGCCCCACGACCATCGCCGCTGCCGCTTTTGCAGCCGCCGCCGACGCAGCCAAACCCCCTTCCGATGTCGAGGACGCGAACGAGGACGATGAGGATGACGAGGACGATGTCAACGACCACGACGAAGAGGATGACGAGGACGATGTCAACGACCACGACGAAGAGGATGACGAGGACGAGGACGAGGAGGATGAATATGACGACGACGACTCCGATGACGATGATCACAACCACGACGAGGAGGACAGCCGTCTGCGGGCTTCAATCTATCCCCGGGATGTCCCGTTGTACGCACAGGCCACGCTCCTCCAGTACACAGCTCGCACGGGTCGGTCATTATCCGTGCAGCGAAGTTGGACAGCGGAAGAACGGACAAGCTTGGCAGCGCGACTCGAAGTTACTCCGGGCTACGCGCTCATCACGGCCCCTCGCCGCCCGCGTCTCCCAACCGCGATGACGATTTTCTTGCGGCAGCGATTCGACGAGGGTATTGATGATCCCAACCGCCGGCACGACAACAGTGTGTACAAAGACTTTGTCCAGCGTTTTGGAGTCGTCCAGTCTGCGTTGCACTCTGTCACCCAGCAGCGCATCAAGTCGCTGTTTGTTTCCTGGGCGAATCGACGCGACTCTCAAGCTGTCAACAACCGCAGTCCAGCAGAAGTACTCTCACCATCAGCGGCAGCACCGCGAGGGCGCAAACGACGGCGTCAGAACGACGAGGATATCTTCTTCCGCGCTGACCCGCACAACGATCTCGATGAGGCAGCAGACAACGAGCACACGTCTCTGCCCTCGTTTGACGACGAGGGCGACTACGAACCCCAAGCAAGGTTTGTCTCAGTCTCTAGTTCGCAACGCCGAGTCCGAACTCGCAGCAGTCAACAATCTCCACCCCCAGACGATAGTGATTAATTGTGCGAAGAATAAAAGAGTTACATTTGGCGGCCTCAGGCCAAGGGGAGGTTGGGAGGTTGGGTGGTTGGTGAAAAAGTTGGTGTAGTAGCTGCGGGTGGCGGAATCGTCCCCTATTTCGGACCAATTATTGTTGGACAAGGTGAATCTGCAACAGAATGTAGCAGCGGCGCAGATCAGGGGGCCGGAAAATAGCACCAGCGAGTCAGTGAGCAAAACGACCGCGACACAACGGCTCCTTCACTCGCTCCCCTCTGCCGCCCAACGCACTTCCGGTGCGCCCCCGACCCTCGATCACACTGATGGCATGGTGTACACCCCACAGTCAGCGCCCCCAGCGACGGAAAGCGATGTAGGACATGTGCTGGATATGAACGACATATTTTGGGGGGTTCATTCTACCTTTTTAAAAAAACGACCCCATATAAAAACAAATCGAGGTGTCATGTCGAAGAAGAATAAAAACATATAACTCGCAACTCGTCCAGCAGCAAAAGTCGTGCACGAACGAAGAATGGGGCGAAATCGAACAAAACTGAAAAACTCAAAGTAAACAAAAAGCCAGTAACCATACAAACTAGCAAAACAGTCAAAAACAAATCAGCAACAAGGGTCAACAAACAAGGCCATGTGGCGAAAAGCAATGACAGGATGCTAAGTAATAATCCATCGAACAATCAACAAGCGACAAGAAAGTGAAACAAAACAAACAAAAAGAATGACAAACAGGGTTAAAAGCTGGTCCCCAGTTAGGTGTTAGGTCCCTTCCGAATTTGGACACACCCCGATTGTGCATTGTTGAAAACGTCACTAATACCTACGAAATGCGCTGATTCCGAATCTGAAAAAATATTGATACCTCGTCGTCAGATTTTTCGCCCAAATCGGGTTTGAAGGCGAATTTTGCACTTTTTTGCCCTTTTTTCGCAAAAAAACGCTTCCACCCATTCCGCATCCTATGGATCTCGACCAGATAAGTCTGTCACTTGGGACTATCAACTGCGCTGATTTTGGATCTGGAATAAAAAATATAGGTCGTCGTCGGAATTTCTGAGAAAATCGACATCAAAGATGCATTCCGCACTGTGTTCACGGAAACATTCCTTCCCCCAGTGCCCATCATGTCATGCAAACCAATTGCGACAATCAGAGGAAGCTACATGACACGCTCAAACTGAATCAGGCTCCTGTGGGTGCATCATTCCGAAAAAGGAAAGTGCCCCACGGTTTGATGACTAACGTGCTCACGTGGCAAGTTGGAGGGTAGGGTTAGGGTTAGGGTTAGGGTTAGGGTTAGGGTTAGGGTTAGGGTTAAAAGCTGGTCCCCAGTTAGGTGTTAGGTCCCTTCCGAATTTGGATACACCCCGATTGTGCATTTTTGAAAACGTCACTAATACCTACGAAATGCGCTGATTCCGAATCTGAAAAAATATTGATACCTCGTCATCAGAATTTTCGCCCAAATCGGGTTTGAAGGCGAATTTTGCACATTTTTGCCGTTTTGTCGCACAAAAACGCTTCCAGCCATTCCGCATCCTATGGATCTCTACCAGATAAGTCTGTCAATGGGACTATCAACTGCGCTGATTTTGGATCTGCAATAAAAAATACAGGTCGTCGTCGGAATTTCTGAGAAAATCGACATCAAAGGTCCATTTCGCAGGGTTGTCACGGAAGAACTCCTCCCAGTCCCGATCTGACATGCAAAGCAATTTCGACGATCACATGCACTTAAACGACACGCCCAGTCTGAATCAGGCTCCTGTGGGTGCACCATTCCCAAAAAGGAAAGTGCCCCACGGTTTGATGACTAATGTCCTCCAGGCGCAGATGATCACGTGGCAAGTTGAAGGATAGGGGTAAAAGCTGTCTTAGGGTTAGGGTTAGGGTTAGGGTTGGGTTAGGGTTAAAAGCTGGTCCCGAGTTAGGTGTTAGGTCCCTTCCGAATTAGGACACACCCCGATTGTGCATTTTTGAAAACGTCACTAATACCTACTAAATGCGCTGATCCGAA